ACAAAGTCCCTCCAGAAGGGCTCCAGTGTTGAACTCGGTCCCAGGACCTGGCTGCTGATGGTGAGCACCGTGTTTCCCAGCTCATTGTTACTGCAGTGCCACTGACTCCCCACCCATCCTATTTGCCATCTTTGTGCAAATCCACTGTGTCCCCAGCCGCTCACCCAGGAGTTGGGTAACACCCCTTCCTTAGCCCTTTTTTCACAGTGTACCATCAATGGGTACATTGACCCTTCTATCATTGCCTATCAATCTATGGACTGGAATTAAAAGAAAATTTTTTTGATTGTTTTGAGAGAGGAAGAAGTGGTGGGGTGAGAGGAACACTCATTTGTTGTTCCACTTATTTATGCATTCAATTGTTGGTTCTTGGATGTGCTTTTACATACTAAGCCTTTTGTATCAATCAGGACGACGTTGTAATTGAGCTGCCTGCCCAAGTTGGATTTTTCATATTTGAAACATCTTTTCTGTGTTTTCCCAACCACCACCATATGCCAATCAGGACTTGTCTGGGATGTTGTGTAGATACAGCAGTGAGAGTTGACACGCAGGGACTCAATGGGGAGACAGATCAGATAGCAAATGGATTATTGAGATGGGCAAGTGTTCTGGGCAGAGGCAGTAGGGGAGGGCCGAAGGCCTATGGCTCGGGAGCATTTAAACCAGGCGCAGAAGGGTTTTAGGCTAGACCTGCTTAGAAAGGTGGAAGGAGGCATGGGTGAGATGTGGTAGGGGTGTTCTTGGGGCTCAGAGGCAGGGTTCCCGGGGAGGCAGCCTGTAAGAAGCCTTGGCTGTCTGTGAAGGTGAGGCACCAGCCACATTCTATGTTAAGAGACAGAACTAGGAAGATCAGGCTGGTAAAAGTGGTAAGCAGGAAGAGCACTGACTTAAGGCACCTGTCTGTGTGTCAGCAGAACAGAGCAGATGTCACTTTCATGGTGGGGGAGGGGGGGGAGTGTCACGCTCCCTCTCCCAAGGGGAGACTCATTTATTTGCAATATTCAGGCAGTTCGTTTAATTTTAAAATTCTTGAAATCATTACCACTGCCACCAAATGGGCACAACTCTACGGCTCAAATTTCAAAGGTAGGAAAAGGCTTTAGGAGGTACCTCAGCGCCCTCCCCAGTTTCTCATGTACCCTTCCAGGTTATTCTAAGCTACATTTTGTCTTTTCGTTGTAAATTGTAACAAACTGTCCTCATTTTAGATCTCGTTCTTCTTATCCCAGTGGGACCTTGGCCAGGAGGACATAGATACCCAATCGGGGGTAGCAATAATGCCCATCCTACCCGCGTACACATCTGAATGCCTGGAATCTGTGGGGATACTACATTACACAGCAAAACGGACTCTGCAGAGGGAACTGTGGCTATGCGCCTGGGTTAGCTTCCTGAATTACAAGAAATGACGTGTTGTCGCTGACTCTGACACACAGGGGTCACGGGCCTCCAGGAGATAAAGGAGTCAGCAGGGAAACATGCACTCAGAGCAACAACATCAAGAAACTATTCTTCCCATGAACTTGGAAGCAAGATCCCATGGTTCAGGGCTCAGCCTGGCAGTGAACAGGGACAAGTGGAAGGACAAGCAGTCCCCAGTCCACGGCAGGCACCATCCACAGGAAGGGCGTGACCCACCGCTCACCGCACTCCCGAGAGCGCAAATCCCCCCGACTCCCCGGAGAGCGAATCCACCGCCGAGGAGGCCTCCAGGCAGTGGTCCAGCGCCGCGCGACGCCCCACCTCTCACCCGGCCCTGCGTCCCCACGAAGCCCCTTCCTCCCCGCAGCCCCGCGCTCCAGGCCGCACTCACCGCACAGCCGCCCCTGCACTTCGCGGCAGCTGCGCCGGGCGGCCCCCCGCCAGCCTCCGGGCCGGAGCAGGCCGGCCCCTGCGGTGCCCCCCAGAAAGCGCCCCCGGCCCTCCCGCCCCAGGGCTCGGCAGCCCCCGCCCCGCCGCCCGCGGTGCCCACGCCACCCTCCGGCCCGCGCTGGGCAGTCCGGGGCCGGCACACACCCCGTGGGCACGGACATCGCGCGGGAGGGTGGCCGGCTCGGCGCAGTTTCCCCCTCGCGCGCTGGAATCGCTCAGGGAAGGGGCGATGCCGCGGCCGCTAAGTGGCTTGGCCCGGAGGCGGACTCCAGAAGTCCCGCCCCAACTTCCTGTGGGAGGGACCCCACCGGGCCGAGCCAGCGTTGCCGCTCTAGGCAGCTGGAGGCCTCAGCGACTCGGTGGTTCCCAGCCAGCTAGCCACTGTTAGAACCGGTCCACGCAACTAATGGGGTGGTAACGAAGTAGAAAAAAAAAAGAAAAAAAGATTAAAAACGCAGGTAGAATTTTATATACCTCTGTGTGGACTTTGATACACAACTTCTAAAATCTTAACAGACTGTAACTTGATAAAAAAAAAAAAAATAAGACTGCACGTGAAAGACCTGAATCCGTCAATCCAATGATTACAACCAATAGATTGAAAAGGTACAGAAGAATTTATACATCCCTATGTTCATAGCAGCACAATTTTTAAAAATATATATATTTTTTAAATTTATTTCATAGAGGAAGGGAGAGATATAGAAACATCAATGATGAGAGAAAATCACTGACCGGCTGTCTCCCGCAGGCCCCTCACTGGGAACTGAACGAGCCTGCAACACAGGCATGTGCTCTGGGCCATAATTGAACAAGAAACCCTTAAGTCCACAGGCCAACGCTTTATCCACTGAGCCAAACCAGCTAGGGCAGCAGCTCAATTTTTTATAGCTAGTATCTGAAAACAGCCCAAGTGCCCATGAACAGATGAGTGGATAAAAAAGCTGTGGTACATTTACACCATGAAATACTATGCAACAGTAAAAAGAAGAAGAAGAAGAAGAAGGATCTCTTACCCTTTGAAACAGCATGGAGAAGCCTGGAGAGTATTACGCTAATTGAAATTATTGGAAGCTGCCCATTGCCTTCACCAGCAGAAGGAGGTGGATAAGGAGTCCGGAAGGCCGGTCAACCTTGAGGCTCTGGCAAGGGTCAAAGCCAAACACCCACTGTAGGGTGGAGACAAAGGTAGCTAAAGCAACTCCACCATTTAGTCTCATGTAACTTCTTACTGATAGGATAATTCGCCTGTTAGTGGAAATTGCCTGCCTAAAGGCCATCAGTGGATCCCAAACCTGAATGAAAGGGTTCTCAAGGCCAGAGCAAAGTGGAGTTCTCTCTTGGGCTTCCACCTGGCCAATTCTCAAATTAGTATTTTCCTGTCTCTCATTTGTGTGCAGCCTCTTCCAGAACCCGACCCTGAACCTGAGCCCTGAACTACGCAGTACATGGGGGGGTACATTTGCACTAAATAAGCGAGTCAGAGAAAGACAAGTATCACATGATGTTACTCATATGTGAAATCTAATGAATAAATAAACTGATGAACAAAATAGATCTAGAGACATACAAGCATAGAACAGACTGAGGAAGCTCAGAGGGAAGATGGGGTAGGGTGAGTGGCTGGGAAGAAATCAACCGAAAAACTTGTATGCATATATGCACAACCCATGGACAGACAACATGGTGGTGAAGGTCTGAGGTGGGGGGTGTGGGTGGGGATGGGCTAGAAGGGGTCAAGGGAGGGAAAGGGGGAAATATGTAATATGTTCCACAAAAATATTAAAAACCAAAACAGGTATTTTTATTGAATTTTGTTAAATTTGTTTATAGGTTTATTTTGAGGAAAATTAATACAGTTATAATATCAAATTTTCCAATACAGTAATATAGAATTTCTCTCCATTCATTCAAATTACCTATTTTTGCTGTTGATAATCCTCACCCAATAATATTTTCCTATTAATTTTTTAATATATATTTTATTGATTTTTTACAGGGAGGAAGAGAGAGGGATAGAGAGTTAGAAACATCTATGAGAGAGAAATATCCATCAACTGCCTCTTGCACACCCCCTACTGGGGATATGCCCGCCACCCAGGTACATCCCCTTGACTGGAATCGAACCTGGGACCCTTCAGTCCACAGGTTGACACTGTATCCACTGAGCAACACCGGTTTCGGCTCCATGAATTTTTATTTATCTCTTTTAAATATATATGTTATTTATTTTTTACAGAGAGGAAGAGAGGGATAGAGTTAGAAACATCTATGAGGGAGGAACATTGACCAGCTGCCTCCTGCACGCCCCCTACTAGGGATGTGCCCACAACCAAGGTACACGCCCTTGACCGGAATTGAACCTGGGACCCTTCATCCCACAGGCCGACACTCTATCCACTGTCGGCCCATTCATTTTTAAAAGGCGAAAGATTTATGCGATCTGAAGAGAAACCAGAGCATGGCCCATTCCTTTTCAGAGTGAGTGGGAGGGAGGGCTAGAGAGAGAGATGAAGACGGAGACATCGATTTCAGACACATGGTTTGCCTCCCCCACGTCCACTGTGTCCTGGGATAGAACCTGCAACCCAGGAACATGCCCTTGACCGGAAATCTTACCCACGACCCTCAGCTGCAAGGACAGATGCTCTAAACATGGAGCAACAACCTCCAGGGTTCCAATTCAGTTTACTACATGTGCTTGCCCGGGAAGTCTTGCTGACTCTCAGCCACCATTCACAGCGTTTCGCTGCTGAACAGCCCTTCACGCTGGTTCACCTGTTGCTGTTGCTCCACCGGAAGGTGAGCTTGGAGAGCCAGCGGCCCCCTCTCCGCTGTCATTTCACCCGAAACAGAGTCTGCACTCGGTTCATTCAACACTGTTTTCGAGGGCGTAACGCCTGCGGCCGCCCAGCGCGAGCCCCGCCTACTTCGCGGGTCCCGCCCACCGCGCATGTCCCCCCCCCCACTTCCTGGGTCCCGCCCACCGCTCAGGTCCATCCCATAGTGGGTCCCGCCCATCGCGCATGTCCCGCCCCACTTCCTGGGTCCCGCCCACCGCTCAGGTCCAGCCCATAGCGGGTCCCGCCCACCGCGCAGGTCCCGCCCACCGCGCTGCCGGCACTGCAGGCTCTGTGTGGAGGAGGAGGAGGAGGAGGAGGGAGGAGGAGGAGGAGGAGCTGCAGGAGCGGATCCTCCGCGGACTCCTGCTGCGTAGGTTCCGGCGTAAGCGCCTGCAGCGCATGGCGGTGAGCGGTGAGGAGAGGAGGCGTGGGTGGCGGGGCCCCGGTCCGTGGGTTGCCCCGGCGTGAGCCTCTTGCTGTCTCCTTTTCTCCAGGCCCTCGGACATCCTGCCCGGGAGACGCCGGCGGCCCCCGCCCCAGGTACCGCCCGCGCCACGCAGCCCCTGGTTCCTCCGTCCGCCCCCCCCACCCATCCACTGTCGGTTTCACCCCGTCTGTCCCTGTTCAGGACAAGCCGTGCGCAGTGACGCCACAGGATCATCCGTGCGCGGTGATGTCCCAGGACACCCCGCGCGCATTGACGACACCTCCAGGGGGCGTCCCGTAGGCGGTGATGGCGACGCGGCCTCCAAAAAGCAAAACAAGAAGAAAAGTCGGAAAGGGGCCTCGGTGTCGAATGGACCCGGGAAGGCCTGCGAGAAGCCGTCCCCAGAGCCCTCTCCGAGCCCGGAAGCCCAGGCAAGGCCGAGTGCATCCTGGGTGCGGGTCCCCGGGGTTTGCGGGGTTGGGGAGGGCTGGGAGGGCGGCGGGGCCTCTCACCACCGCCGCCTCTGCCTCAGGCGGAGCAGCTGGCCCGTGAGCTGGCCTGGTGCGTGGAGCAGCTTGAACTCGGCCTCCGGATGCAGAGCCCCAGCCCGAAGCAGAGTGAGCGCTTTGGGAAGGATGGGGAGGCGGATTGGCAGGCCGGGCCTGCAGGGGCTGTCTGGGGCTGGGCGTGCGGCTTCTGTGTGGGAGATGAGGACATGCGGTGAGGATGGAGGAGGCCTCCAGTCCTGCGTTCTCACCTGCAGAAGAGCAGGCTGTCGTGGCCATCCGGACCCTGCGCAGCGGGAGAACCCCTCTGCCCCGCAAGAGGCAGCTGATGCGCTCCTTGTTCGGGGATTACCGGGCGCAGATGGAAGCGGAGCGGCGTCAAGCCCTGCGGGCACTCCAGACCGGTGAGGAGCCGGAAGGGCCGATCCTGCTAAAAGCCTAGGAGCCAAAGGAAGAATCCCAGAGCAGCAGGGCTGCCTAGGGGAGGCCTGTGCCTCCGGACACAGAACTCAGGCCTCTGGGGGCGGTGAGGGTGGAGAGACTCTGTGCTCCGCGGCGGGGGGTGGTGTGAGATCTACACTGTGACTTTGAGACAGGAATCCGTTCACTGACACAAAGTGCTTATGTTCGAACGGGACCCGTGGGTATGAGCTGCTGTTACCGGCTGACACTCTTCCCTCTCCCACAGCAGCCCGTTCAGCCCACGTGCAGCCTGTGGGTGAGGCCGCCAGGAAGAGGAGCAGAAGGGTCTGCAGGCCCCGCCTGGAAAGGGGACCTAAGGCCACCCCGGACGTTCCAGAGGAAGAGTTTAGGTTCAATTTCTTTTAGCCTCTCCTCCTCTCCTGACCTGCCCCCTCCCCCCAGGGTTGAGGGGTTTGCCAGGAGTGCACTTAGAGGGATGTGGGGTTGGTCCGTCCCTGGACAGTCAGTTCACCTGGTGCCATGGCTGCTGGGCAGATGTGAGGCCAGCATATTGAATACTGTCTGACCAGCACAGGCCCCATCGGTAGGTTTTCAGATCAGTGGTTCCTGCTGCTAGAAGACAGAAGGCCATTTAAAATGCCGAAACCCGTCTGGCTCAGTGGATAGGGCATCGGCTGGCATACTGTAACGTCCCGGGTTCGATTCTGGTTGGGGCACATTTCCAGTGGTGGGTGTGCAAGAGGCAGCTGATCGATGTTTCTAACTCTCCCTTCTCTGTAAAAAAAAAAATCAATAAAATATATATATATTTTTAAAAAAGGCTTCTTCAGTACACAAGGGTCAGCATGTGGCAGGAACATCTTGCTCAGTTTTCAGGGTTAGACTGTGGCTAACGGTGAGGGGGAAGTATCATAATCGCACATTCGTGCTCACTTAGGAAAGGCATGCTGTTACACAGGATGGTCCTTAAGGAAAGAAAAATCTGTCCAAAAAAAAATAAAGAAAAAAATAAATAAAAAACTGTACAAACAAAACAATAAAAATGGGTGACAGAGTGGGAATTGCCTGTGTTAGACGAAGCTCGGGTGAGGCCACGTCGTACACTCAGTCCTGGTTCCTATCGCGCTCAGTCCTCTGTGGTCTTCCTGGGGGCAGGGTGCCATGCAAGCAACCTTTGTTCCTGGAGACCAGGCCAGAGCCCTAGGGCTTGTGCTGTCCCAAGCTAGGCTTTGCAGTTTCTCAGTCAGTGGTTTCAATGCTGTCTCTGATGGTGTCTCTCCGATGTGCATCCCATACTCCGTAGGCACCTAGAACCCACCAGCCTAGTCAGCAGGAGGCAGAGGAATTGGTGTCTCTTTCGGGAGGACCCTGTCCTGGGGCCGCCTGGCAGTTGCTGCAGCGTCACAGGCTGGGAGTGAGGGTTTGGAGAGCAGAGTCCTTTCCGAAGGACCCGGAGCTTCCAGTGCCTGGTCAGTTTGCCTCCGATTCTCAAGGAAATGTTCTTTTGGTCTCTGTTTTGGAGCTTTGACTGCAGAAGAGACCATTCAAACCACCTATGCCTTCTGGCTGGTGTGGCTCCGTGGTTGATCTTCGACCTCTGATCCAAGAGATCCTGTGGTTCCAATTCCGGTCATGGCACATGTCCGGTGTGGGCTGCATCCCCAGGGTGGGGCGTGCAGGAGGCAGCCGATGGAAGGTTTTCTCTAATCACTGGTGTTTCTCTCTCCCTCCCTCTCCCTTCCCCTCTGAGATTCATAACATATTAAAAAAAAAAAAAACTTTCTAAAAGTCCGGTAAGCAAAATGGCAAGTGCACATATGCGGATATATATGCTATTTGATACCTATGCTCTTTTGAATAAACAATCTTCAAAGCTTCATGTCATATCTTCTGAAGGCGTTAACATCATAGATATATATATGTATATTTTTAAAATATATCTTATTGATTTTTGTACAGAGAGGAAAGGAGAGAGATAGTTAGAAACATCGATGATAGAGTCATCGATCAGCTGCCTCTCGCACACCCCCTACTGGGGATATGCCCACAACCAAGGTACATGCCCTTGACAGGAATCGAACCCGTGACCCTTCAGTCCCAAAGCCGACGCTCTGTCCATTGAGCCAAACCGGTCTCAGCAACGTCACAGATATTTTAACACTTAAAAAAATGTCGAGTTTAATGCCAAAAAGAAGAGCATTTGCAAGAAGTTTGGTTTTTTTTTTGTTTTTTTTTTTTTCATTTGCAAGAAGTTTAAGGTAATTACTAATAACTCCTATCTATGGGGAAAAAATTCCGTTACTAATCGATATACCTGGTAACACCACTTTTGTGATGGTATGTCGCCTTCTTGTGGACATCTCTGGAATTGCGTCATTTGTTTACACCTTTTTTTTTCTTTTTCTTTGTTTTCAAGCCACCCCAAAGCAAAAGTACAGTAAAGTGACAAGTATAGCACGGAGAAGTTCCTTCACGAGTAATCTGACGTTACCCATGTGATGCCCTGTGACCCCGCAAATAATTTTTTTTCCGCCCGATTACCAGGGGCAATTTCCTATAAACCAGGTCCTTCTGCACAACCATCAGCATCGGGTGTCCACGCTGATGCCTGTCTGCTGTCCATTTCTGTGACGGATTGCAATGTGGCCTGTTGTCCCAGAAATGCCCTTGGCAGGCGGCCAGAGACCCCGCTGACACCCGCTTCCCGTGAGAGACGCCCTTTGCATTGAGTGCTTTCACACTTTGCTGAAGCGGCAGATACTAATGTCGGGAATCAGGGACCCTGCAGGCTGCAGAGACGCCCCCCAGAACGCACCCAGAACCCGGGACGGAGCCAAGGCGCCCCTACCCCAAACCTGAAGAGATAGGGATCTGGGGCGACCCCCTCCACAGGGGTGGATCAAACCCACGTAAATGCAATGTGAATGCTAAGTTAATGCGGTGTTAATCCTGAGTTAACAGAGTTAGCCCACAGCCAAGGAGTCTTTATCTCCCGGGCACAGCGATTCCACCTGGCTGCGCCTGGGCAGTGTGGCTCAGTGGTTGAGCTTTGACCTATGAACCTGGAGGTCTCATATCTGATTCCTGGTTCCATGCCCAGGTTGGGGCCTCCATGCCTGATGTGGAGGTGCAGGAGGCAGCCGATTCTCACCGTGGGTGCATATCCCTGTGGCTGAAATCCATGAAAACATGTTATTTTCTTTTAGAGAGAAACGCAGTGGCAGCTGTGCCAGCTTGCAGGGCTGCGGGTGGGGACGGCCTGTCAGGTGAGGTGGCAGCGGCAGGATGCCTGGAAAGAGGCACTTGAGGAGGCAGAGGAATTATTGTCTCTCTCAGGAGGACCCTGTCCTGGGGCCACCTGACAGTGGCTGGTAATTTTGGCTCCAATTCTCAAGTAAATGTTCTTGTCTCTCTTCTCTGGAGCTTTGACAGCACAGGAGACCATGCAAACCACTGATGACCTCTGGCCTGTGTGGCTCTGTGGTTGAGCTTCAACCTATGAACCAGGAGGTCGTGCGGTTCCATTCCCAGTCAGGGCACATGCCAGGTTGTGGGCTCCATCCCCAGAGTGGGACGTGCAGGAGGTAGTCGATGGGAGGTTTTCTGTAATCATTGGTGTTTCTCTCTCTCTCCCTTCCTCTCCCTTCCCCTCTGAAATCCATAACATATTAAAAAGAACAAAGAAAAACAATTTTTAAAAAATATATTGTATTGTTTTTTAACAGAGAGGAAGGGAGAGAGATAGAGAGCTAGAAATGTTGACTAGAGAGAAACATCGACCAGCTTCCCCCTGCACACCCCCCACCGGGGATGTGTCCGCAACCAAGGTACATGCCCTTGACCGGAATCGAACCCGTGACCTTCCTTCCAGTCTGCAGACCCACGCTCTACCACTGCGCCAAACCGCTTTCGGCAAAAAACAACTTTTTTTTTTTTTTTTAAGAATATCTGGTTTATTTGGAAAAATTCATAATAAAAACTGTAACTGCTTATCCTGCAATTTACAAAATAATAATTGGATATATTAAATGAATTGGTTTTCATTATGTAAGTACAAATGGTAAAAAAATAATAACCCATGTGATATATCATATATTTCCCATTCAGAGATATCTCTGAATTCACCTGTTGCATGCTTTATACCAGATATTTTAAATCAGTTTACCAAAGAAGACCATGTTTTTTACTATCTTTAAGTTTTTACTCACAGTTACAATCTATCAGAAGCTGTGTCTATGTGGGCAGAGCCTGCTCAACTGAGATGAGAAATTCAAGTCATTTCTTCTCCCGAGGTTGTTTTAATGTTTCTTCTGTGATAGGAAGGGCCTTCCTAATGTTTTGCTACACAACCTAAGCATATCTGTCAGTCACAATGACTTAGACCCAGCCCATCTTTCAATGCAATTTACTCTGGTCTTTAACATATAGACACAAAACAGTACAGATTAACATATCATTTTTACCAAACCCTACCCCTAGAAACCACATTTAAAGAGAAAATTTCATCTTAGCATTTCCTTGCATAGAAGACCTTACTACTGCAACAGGCTTTGGCCATGAAAGAATACTGTCCTACATGACCTATCAAGTTAATGTGAATCTTAGAGAGAAAAATAAATCTATTACTTAGCATATAAATTAGAAATTCTCACAAATGATATGCATTCAGTAAACTCTTTTGCCTTCCTTAACTAGCAGGAGGCTGGGAAAATATTTATCTTCTACATTTCTTTTAGAAGATTTGGTCCCTGACAATTTTTCTAAAAAAGTATATTTTATTGATTTTTCACAGAGAGGAAGAGAGAGGGATAGAGAGCTAGAAATATCGATGAGAGAGAATCATCGATCAGCTGCCTCCTGCACACCTCACACTGGGGATGTGCCCACAACCAAGGCACACGCCCCTGCCCGGAATCAAACCGGGGACCCTTCCATCCACTGAGCCAAACCAGTCCTGGCAGATTACTTAAATCTTTTTAAGCCTTCTTATTTTTTACCTTATAAAATGGTAAGTTTCATATTTGTATTCTTTTACAAATGCAGTATAAATTGTATGGACAGACTTTTACGACAGTTTCCTGCCCGGGTGCGGTACCGCTGCCGAGGGCTCTGGCTGCCGTGTGTGGACCTTTGGTCCCCGCTGGCGGTGCCCTTGCTGTCCGGGGGCGGTGGGGAGCGGGTGGCCTCGGCCTTCGGGGCTGGGATGAGCCACGCTCTCGGTGGAGGCAGTAGAGCCGAGCTGGAGCCATGGCCAGTACTGTGGTCGCAGTTGGATTGACCATTGCTGCTGCAGGATTTGCAGGCCGTTATGTTTTGCAAGCCATGAAGCATATGGAGCCTCAAGTAAAACAAGTTTTTCAAAATCTGCCTTCAGTGGTTGCTATTACAGAGGTGGGTTTGAACCCAAAATGACAAAACGAGAAGCAGCATTAATATTAGGTGTAAGCCCTACTGCCAATAAAGGAAAAATAAGAGATGCTCACCGACGAATTATGCTGTTAAATCACCCAGACAAGGGAGGATCTCCTTACATAGCAGCCAAAATCAATGAAGCTAAAGATTTACTAGACGGTCAAGCTAAAAAATGAAGTAAATGTATGGTGAATTTTAAGTTGTTAGTCACTTATATAAAAACAGCTTTTTGTAATAAAATGTCCTAAAGCTACACATTTTAAAAAATGATTTAGCACAAACTAAGTCAAAGCCTTGGTATAAGTTTCTTATTTAAATTTGAAGGTTCTAGCTTAA